TCTTCCTGTTAAAAGGAGACCGTCTAGACATACATAGCATTCCCTGGTTCATAGCAGTTCGGAAGTCCAGCTGGGAACATATCACCAATTCCTTGACTAGGGACCCGCCCTGTGCCCCAGGAGCAGGTTCTAGCCCTAGACTATCAGTTCTACCCTCTAAGTCATCTTTCCTTTTCCATATGGAACAGCCCATGTTTGCAGCACAGCAGTTTTCTCAGCCTGCTTCCTTCCTGCCCATTGACAGCTGGAGGTCTGTGTTAGTTTCCTATCACTGCTGTAAAAGAAGCACCACAAACTTCATAACTTAAACAACTCAAACATGATCTTACAGTTCTGGAGGTCAGAGGTGGAAAACAGGTCCCACTGGGCCAAAATCAAGATGTTGGCATGCTCTCTCTGGAGGCTCTAGGGGAGAATCGTTGCCTTGCCTTTTCCAGCTTCTAGGAGTCACCTGTGTTCCATGTCTCCCTTCCACCTTCAAAGACAGCAATGGCTAGTTGAGTCTTTTTATTTTTTTAAGTGTATTTATTTTGAGAGAGAAAGCAAGTTGGGGAAGGGCAGAGAGAGGGAGAGACAGAATCCCAAACAGGCTCCGCACTGTCAGTGCAGAGCCCGACACAGGGCTTGAACTCACAAACTGTAAGATCATGACCTGAGCCAAGAGTCAGACGTTTAACCCACTGAGCCACCCTTAACCTAATCACACCTGCAGACCCTTTTTGCCACGTAAGGTAACATATTCACAAATTCTGGGATTAGGATGTAATCTTTGGGGCCATTATTTTTATTGTATTTATATATATTATTATATTATATATAATTTATATATTATTTATTATATTTATATATTATATTATATATTTAGTATATAGATATAGATATAGATATATAGATATAACATTTATATAACATTTTATATGTTAAGGCCCCTCTTTATTTTTTACTTCTCTGTCCCTTTCAGTCCAATCTACTTTAATTCTTTTAAAAATGTTTTGCATTCTCAATTTAGAATCAATTCCATTAGGGGAAAAACACACCTACATTTCTTTTCAAGACAGTTTTCTCTACCTTGTGTTACCTGTGAGGCTTCTGGTTCTTAAAGGACCTTTCAGGCATGCCCTAAATCTCTCTGAGGTCTTACAATTTCCCACTGGTGTGCAAGAATACATATTTTAGGAGACAGGACGTAAAAACTACCAGTCCTCTTTTATCAAAAAGACGGGAGATAACAAGTTAGTGTGAATGTGGAGAAAAGGGAACACTTTTACACTATTGTTGGGAATGTAAAATGGCACAGCCATTATGGAAAACAGTATGGTGGTTCCTCAAAAAAAGTAAAAACCAAATCCCACTCCTGGGTACGTATCGGAAGGAATTGAAATCAGGATCTTGAAGAGACACACCCATGTTCATTGCAGCATTATTCACAATAGCTAAGATATGGAAGTAACCTGAATGCCTATAAATGGATGAGTGAATTAAGAAGATGTGGTATACATATACAATGGAATAGTATTCAACCATGAGAAAGATGGAAAACTTGCCATTTGCAACAACATGGATGGACACTGAGGGCATTATGCTAAGTGAGATAAGTCAGACAGAACAAATACTATATGATATCTCTTGCACGTAGAATCTGAAAAACCAAAAACCTGAACTTGCAAAAACAAAGAGTAGAATGGTTACCAGTGGGGAAACTGGGGAGATGTTATTTAAGGGGACAAATTTGTAACTCATAGATAATCAAGTTCTAGAAATCTAATGCACAACATAGTGATTATAATCAACAATACTATATTATAAACTTGAAAGTTGCTAACAGACCAGATCCTAACTGCTCCCAATATAAAAAAAAGAAATTATGATTATGTGATATGATAAAGGAGTGTTAGCTAAATACTGCAGTAATTATACTATAAAATATAAATGTATCAAACACATTGTACCTTTACACGGTATTATGTATCAATTATATCTCAATTAAAAAAAAAGTTGCCCATCCTTAAGACCTGGGAGTGGCCAGGAATGGCAAAATTCTACTTCATTCTAGTAAATATTGGTTAAGCAATCACAGAGCCCACCCAGAGTCAAGGGGAGGAAACACTGACCATCCCTCTCATGGAGAAGAATGTCAAATAATTTGCAATATATTTAATCTGCTCTACCAAGGAGCTATGGACTAATTGTTACTTTCATTATTTCACATCAATCCACTCCCATTTTATTGCTCTTGATGAGGCAATAGTAAGAATGGCAGCTGGGTTCCAAGATCTAGATCAAGTATCCTGACCTCCAGAGGAGTGGAAGAACTGTGGAAGTTGCTGGTCTTTGAAGGCCTGGACTCAGAAACTGGCAATCCTTCATTTCTGTCATATTCTATTGATCAATCACAGAACCTGCATTGACTCAAGAAGAGTGCACATAAATGCCATCTTTCAGTGAGGGAAATGTCAAGGAATTTGCATTTATTTTTAATCTGTCATAGTCTGCCTTATTTCTCTTCCTCACTTATGCAAAATACACATATACCCACCCAAGGGCTCCCAACGTCTCATCCAGTTAAGGCATCAGCTTGATGTCCAGGACCTCATCATCTAAATCAGGGAAACTATGGCCTGCCCACGCATTTACACATTGTGTATGGCTGCATTTGTGCTACAGAGGCACAGCTGAGTAGTCATGACAGGGGCCATATGGCCTGTGAAACAGGAAAGATTTACTGTCTGGCCCTTTACAGAACAAGTTACGCATCCCTGGTCTAAATCATCTCCCAGTGGGATTTCCAAAGGACTCTGGAGTCAGAATAGTCAAAGAAAAAAACAAGGTCAGGAAAGTAGTTCTTCTGCTGATACAAACTTGTAAACATGACTCATCTTGTATCAGAAAATCTAGGAGGGGAGCTTAACTGCTATCAGAAACTGTATTGCCTGATGGTGCAAACTCTTTCCAATTAGGAGCCCAACCCTATAGCACAATGACTCTTCATCCTGGCCATACGTTAAAATCACTTGGGAGCTTTCAAAAAATACCAATGCCTGGGCACCTGCCAAACCAATTGAGGCAGTCACTGGGGATGGGACCCAGATCTGTAATTTTAAAGCTCCTCAGGTGACCTAAAGTCAGTAGGTGACACGAAGAGGGTACAAACCATAGATCCATGCTAATGGTGTCATGTTTATGGAGTCAGAAACAAGGCTATGTTTGTTTATGTTTATATATAATTATATAGTATAAATGCTAATCCACAAGATAATCCTACCACATCAATCACATTTTATATGTGTTGCTCGAAGTAGACTCAATCATCAGTCCTATATGTGGGCTCATACCCTCTCCCGTGCAAAACCTGAATTCAACCACTGATGTTTGGTCATCTTCCCTATCAGAGGTGGCACAGGGACAACTTCCTTGTCTAGAACTGTCCCTCACCCCCATTTCCCATAGGCTGGCTGGCCAACTGAATCCCTAAACCCCCTATAGTCGGGCAGATCCTTGATCACTGCTGCAGTTCGTCCTTCTCACTCAGACAGGCTCCACAGAGGTGGGCACAACCCCTTTGAATTTTCCTCAAGACTCCTGCCATCTCTATACCCTTCCTGACACAAAGCTGCTGCTCCTGGGTGCTTCCTGCCTCACCCCATCATCAGCACCCTTTCACTGTCCTCACCATCGGTCCAGCTGGTGCCCAACACAGCAGAGATCCATGCCACCTGGGCATTGCTGATGTCATGGGCCCACCAGTGAAAGAGTGCAGAAGAGACGGTTATCAATACTAATACTACTACTAATAATAATGAACTTTCATTGAATCCCTTCTTATTCCTCATATCAATCCTATGTAAGATAATTTTTATTATCCCCATTTTACTGGTGGGCAAAATGAAATTGGAGAAGTTTAGTAACTTGTTCAGATTGCAAACAACTGAACAGAAATTTGGCCCAAATGGAGTCTGACCCCAGAGTGGTGTGGTTAGTTACCAATGTTCCCTTACGAACGGGTCAATGAGTTGGAGTGAAAAACTAATGAGAGAAATACATATTGCCTGAGCCCAATGGGCAAAGTGGGGATTCAAGGCTGGTGAACTGAGGTATGTTCACTACTCACAATCTCTGGTACTGTTTTTCAGGAATAAAAATCAAATCCATAACCTTAGCTATGCATACTATTCGAGACCCGAACCAGTAAATTCTGGTTCTAGAAGGCAGGGTGCTCAAAGCAGTTCCAGACAAAAGCACCACAATCCCAGGTGACTCTCCACCTTGCTTTATTCAGCAGAAATGGTTCTCGTTCTCTCTCACTTCCCACCTGGCCTGTATAAAGCCCCTCTCCCCATGCAGCCCTCAGCCACTCTCTTCTCTGGGATGGGCAAAGGACTGCCGCCTGGGGAACAGCCTCGAAGACCAGCTAGTGGTGGGCAACAGTGGATGGCCCCAAAGGGGTTCTGGATCTAAAAGAAGCTTACGTGGAAGGGTTGGAAGGAAGAAGGAGCCAGAGGGAGAAGGAAATTCCAAGAGTCGGAATGTTCTTGGCTCCTGGGCCAACTCAGGTGTAAGAATTTGACGACGGTGCTAAAGGAAAGAGGGTGTTGTACCAGAAATGTCAAGAGAAACAAAAAGATCATTTTTCTACGACTATGGCTGACCCAGTTTTCTGACTTTTTCCACAGACCTTTTATATATCAACTTCACACTCAGAAAAGCTCGTACCAAGAAAGATCACTTTTTTTTTCATTGTCTCTAAAGGAGAGCCCTGTCCCTCCTGTGATAGAGTCAAAGAGCCAAAGCATCCCTCATTGCAAAGGAAGTAAGAGATGTGGGAAAGAAATGTCCCCTGTCCCCCCAATTCAGAGAGGTGGGAAGCCTGACTGCTAAGGCTGAAAACCCAAACTTTAGCAAAGATTGCCTGATCTTTCCTTTTTTCCTTCACAAAGTAGCCTGGCTACCAAATAAATTCTCCTTTGTATTTCAGAAAAAGAACGTCAAAGAACTGAACTCACTGAACAATGAGGATCCCTTCACCTTCCTTAAGGAACAGTTTGGTTCCTGTTTCACTTTGGAGTCAGCTGTGCATCCCAGATACTTTGTCTATACTTCCAACATACACACAGACAACCTGTGGGAGTGAGGAAAGATCTAGGGAAAGAAAAAAACACTCAATTCAAATTTGAAAACACCGATATGAATCTCAATACAGGAGGAGACTGAATACACAAACATCTGAGACAACAGAACTCAAACCCTCAGCTTCTATAGCAATGGGCCCAGAGTCAGAAGTGTTCAATGGCTGCCAGCTTTTCTATTTTTGTCCTCACTTCCAACTCAGGACCAACCAGAGAAAGCCGACTACGCTCTTCAAACCAAGCACCTAGGGTGCCCCAGCTCCAGCATCCAAGACCAACAACTCCAGTCAATAGGCACCTTTTTCACCATAAAGCTTACCCACTCTTCTGTCTGCCTTCGAATCACTGCCAAATGCAAGTGATGGAGGCTTGACTCCTTTGCTACAGCAAACTCTGAATAAATAGCTGCTGTGTGTTCTTTGAGTAGTCTTCATGATGAGACCTTCTCTAAAGTCCGGATATAGAAGGGAAGCCATTTTAGATTTCTAAGTCAGCATGACTGTACATAAACTTTGTTCCAACCAAAAGCCTGATTTATGGCCCATCAAATACACATTGTACACCTGCCTTGTAAATGCACAGCCTAAGGGAAACCACCTTGCCCTTAAGATCTCTATCTCCCTGCATTCCTTGACATTAAAACCTGTGCTTCCTGCCTATATGTTAACCTGTTATCTTTTGGGCTTTTGTAAGCTGTAAAAAAGAATATAGCCCTGTAAAAACAGTTCATTCTCCAGAGCACGTTTTTCCCTGCGAAGAGGGTGTTTCCCAGGCAACTGTCCTAACTTAGGCTCAAATAAAACTCTCTTTCTTTAGAGATGCTAAAAGGTTTGTTCATTTTGTGTCAACATTTATCTCTATAGACAATAGCAAATAATAACATAGCTTCCCCCCCATAACATGCTGTCTTCACCCAGCAAGCATGTGGGCTTTGCTTTCAGTGTCATTTGTCCTTTTATTTTTTTAAATGTATGTATTTAAAATCAAGTGAGTTATCATACAGCATAGCATTGATTTCAGGAATAAAACCCAGTGATTCATGACTTACATATGACACCCAGTGCTCATCCCAACAAGTGCCCTCCTCAATGCCCATCACCCATTAGGTCCATCCCCCCACCCAATGCCCCTCCAGCAACCCTCAGTTTGTTCTCTGTATTTAAGAGTCACTGGTGGTTTGCCTCCCTCTCCGTTTTTATCTGATTTTTTTCCTTTCCTTCCCTTATGTTCATCTATTTTGTTTCTTAAATTCCACAGATGAGTGAAAGCACATGGTATTTGTCTTTCTCTGACTTATTTCACTTAGCATAATACACTCTAGTTCCATACATATTGTTGCCAATGGCAAGATTTCATTCTTTTTGGTCATTGAGTGATATTCCATTATATATATAATATATATATAATAAAATATATATACCATACCATACTATACATACCATACCATACATACACCATATCTTCTTTATCCATTCATCAGTCGATGGGCATTTGGGCTCTTTCCATACTTTGGTTATCGTTGATAGTGCTGCTATAAATTTTGGGGTGCACACAACCCTCTGAATCAGCATTTTTGTAAAGTGTATGTCATTTGGGCTATAAAAAGTAGAGTGTGGTTAATTACAAAGTTCTAGGTGAAATAAATTTCTGGGAAGTGATGATCTCAGTGCCTGTGGGTTTGCTGCCTTCCTAAACATGCCCAACCTCACCCAGGTGCTTCTGTTTTTCGAGATATAGCCAGGCTCTACTGGTTATCTCCTCCAGGAGGCCAGCCTGGACAATGCAAGCTCTGTAATAAGTGATCGTGTAGATGCTGGATGAATTCTAGGAAAGTTGGTCCAGCTGCAGGTGCATCGAGAGAGGTCCAGTGGGGTCCAGGGTCCAAGGGGTATGGCAAGGTACTGTCTTTGAGTCCCCCGTGGGGGAGGATGGTGCAGTGGGTGTGAACAGGTGGGAGGAACCAATAACAAAGAACCTGGAGAAGCTGCTTGTGGGAAACCTGAAGGCAGGCACAGGTCCCTCATGACTCATCAGGGTTTAGGTTCAAAGCAAGGCAAAGTCCAGATGCTAAAGTGGGGTTAGGCTGCCAGGCAGGCAATCAGGATAGGAACTCAGGAGGCAGGTACAAATTTGGGGGCAGGGGAGGTTGGAGGCTTATATGGGTTTGGTTTTTTCCTAGGCTGCATGTAACAGATCTAATGGTTAAAGTCTGGGTGATCCCTACCTGCTCAAAAATTGTGATCTGCACTGGGAAAACCTAGTGAAAATCTGGAGTCTGGAGGTTGGTGCCTCCTTTTGTTCTGTTGTTGATCTTTCCTCTTGTATACTTTTTTTTTTATTAAAAAAAAATTTTTTAACATTTATTTATTTTTGAGAGACAGAGAAAGAGCATGAGCAAAGGAGGGGCAAGAGAGAGAAGGAGACACAGAACTTGAAGCAGGCTCCAAGCTATCAGCACAGAGACATGGGGCTCGAACTCATAAACCACGAGATCACGACCTGAGCCGAAGTCGGATGCTTAACCGACTGAGCCACCCAGGTGCCCCTCCACTCGTATCCTTTAGAAAGGCAAACCCTGTTTGTATCATCTTAAGACCAAAGCCACCAGGTTACTGAAACACTATGCCTTTCCTTTAGAATTCAGTGAGCTACGCTATTACTTTGTAACTGAAAATCTTGATACACAATTAGCTTACTCATTTGATTTACCTGCTGATACAGAGTCCAAAACAACATGACTAATATCTAAAAATTAAAGTGACTTGATGAATAGCCAGATTTAACAATTCAATTGACTTTTTCTTTGACTACAACCCGAAGAGAATGTATAATCAACATTACTTTGTAGTTACAATATTTTCAAGAATTCTCCACTTTGTATGGTAGCGTAAGTACTTAACTAATATTTAATGTGTTTTGTTTGTATTTATTTTCATTTTGGGAGTTCTAGTGACTGACACCTCTTGTTTGACAGTGGCATCGAGCCACCGATGTATGTTGTGAGAGGTCCTTCAATTTCATTATGCAGCCTTGAGATAATTCGGAATGGGCTCAGATGAGATCATAAATATCCTTAGTCTGATACTGGCTGGAAGACGGACCGGACCTAACTCTTAAGGGACCATGCCTGATACACTGGAATAAATATACTTATATATTTATTCTTGAAGGACCATCCTTCATAAAGATGTGGGGCCCCACATCTTATCTACTATGAAAGCAGCCACTTTGTAGCTTCTATGGCCCATGCATTAACAGTTGGCTTTCTCAGCCCTGCGGAGCTCCAATAAATAAATAAATAAATAAATAAATAAATAAAATTTTTAAAAAGAAAGAAAAAAAGGAGGAGGCATGATTTGCAGTGAACTTAGATTGCAGGCGGCAGACCAGCCCCCTTCCTTAGCAAAGCAGTGTTTTCCCTCCATCTTGTTTGCTATCTGGTGAGTGCTGGTCTAAGTCCATCTTTCTCTTAAAGGGTTTTGCTGACTGAGCCAGGAAGTAATTAGCACATACTAACATTATGAAATTCGCCTTGCTTTTCCTCTCCTTGGCAGTCTTTAGTAATATGTAGGCTACGGCTACAGTTCCACAAAGCAGATCAGGGGCCAGGATCTGCTTTGGGGCTTTGTAAAGAATACAGCAGTTTCTCTTCCCAGATTTCCAAGGAAGAGCTCCCTCCCACTCCCACCCATCCCCAGAGAACTGGTTGTCAAACATTTGCCAGCACATTGCTAGGTGTGTGTCTGCTGGGATGGGGGTGGGGCGTGGCAGTTGGGCGAGCCAGACAATCCACTGGAATGTGGGAAGAAACCACTAAAGGTCAGTTCCTATTTTATTTAGTCTTTGTGAACTTTCTACTTTTGTGTAAGTTTCATAATGGACTAATGCCCATATTTCAAAACGGAGTGCCCTCAGTTTTGTTTCATTGATTGGGGTCACTAGGATCCAAAATGCTTGGAGGGCACCACTCCTAAGGCTATTATCTCTGTGCAGTTAACTCATTGCCAAGCAGAGTACAGGATGGATAAGGGTCTTCTCCTTCTATTCCCAAGACACATTCCTCTTGCCTTCACCTGCCTCACTCTACCCCAGGATCTTGGATGGGGGCAGGAGGAGTGACCAGCTATGAAAGGAACCTCTGATTAGGGTGCTTCTGTTCTTGCTACAGATTAAATTCCCTGAGATTGCCCTTTTACAGGCAATCCTTTCTAGCCCACATGCAAGGGTCTCAGCCCTAGCCCTCTACCTTCCTGTGGCCTCAAACATCACAGCCCACTCAAAATTTCTCCCACTCCAAGTCTTTCTGCCTTATAAGCAATTTAGCATGTAAACACTATGGGTTTAAAACCCGATGTAAACACATGGGTTATCCATTTTCACAGATAGGTTCAATCCAAATTCCCATCACTTACTACTTTAGGACCTAGGAAAAGTAACTGTATCTCTCTAAACTTCCTCATCTGTGAGAAGGGGGTAATAATAGCACCTCCCTGGAGGGGGTATTGGGAGGATTAAAATGCTTATTCAAGCGAGTAGCACTTAGCCAGGTATCTGAGCCATATAAAAGACTCAGAACATGTTGATCTTTATTCTTCTTAACACTCTTTCCTGCAGCCTGTCACTGGGGGCATCATGCTGTCAGCAAAGCCTTGTCTAAGGACAGATCCTTAGAGGGCCAGGGGAAGAGTAGAGTGGGGTGGGCGAGAAACTAGGTAGGAAGTACCTAGGAGCCTACACAGGAAATCATCTGATGGGTGACATTTTAGGACCATGGACGCCTGGTCCCCGCTGCCCTGAGATTCCGGTTGGTCTGGGGAGACACCCACACATGCTCTGTACGTTGCATGTCCAGCACTAGCTTTGGGCTGTCTTCCTCTTAAATATTTCCAAAGCCTGTCCTTCTTTTACTTCTCTTTCCCTCCCATCGCACCCTGAGTCGCGCCCCCCATCATCTCACACTGAGGCTTGTGCCGGATCCTCCTCGTTAACTGGTGTTCTCGCACATCATTCCTGGCCTGACCCGCGTTCTTCAGACTCCCTTCTCAAGGCCACATCAGAGGTGTCCGTGTTTTACTGTGCTAGTAATTATCTCCTCTGGGGAGTCCGTTCTCAAACAACAGCGGGAGCAACAGGAGCGGCAATAGCGCCTGAGGCAACCTCCCTCGCAGAGTCGCGGGGGGGCGGGCCGTGGGCCTGTGTGCGCTCACCTCCGGTTTACCAGCGAGGAGGTCACCCGCACTAGACCTGGGACTCAGGCTGAGTGAGGCCTTCCGACTCTGCCTGTGCAGAGGATGGTGACGGGGAGCCTTAAACCTGACTTGGGCAGACAGCGGTCACAGTACCTTTAAATTCCAGCACCTGTCACCAATACTGCCTGTGTCACCTGGGGCAGGCAGCCTCCCTCACGCCTTTGGTTTCCGCCCTTGAATTTTCTTAAGGTTATTGTGAGATTCACGCAGTAGCCTGTGATCTAGATCTGTGAGGGCAGCCAAGGCACACTCCGCGGTGAGGGTTTCGCGTGCGCCCTCTGCTGGTCAAGTTTCTGTTTTTCGTAAATTCTTTGAGAAGGTCCGGCTTGCCAGCCTCATGGCAAAGGTCAGAAGAAGGACATGGAAGAGTCCTAGGCTCAAAACCTTTCTTCTCCTGGACCACTCAGTGATATGTGTTCCCTACACCTCTCTGGAAAGCCCGAGGCCCACCCAGGGTTCATCTTTCTTTCATTCGTTTCCACAAAGGAAAAGCCTTTGGCCTCATCCCAGCACCCTTAGGTACCCGCAGCCTCTGATCCTCTGACGCCCCTACGAGAACATCGTGGCACCAGCCTCGTGCCCACCCTCATCTGTCGCCACCCTCATTGGTTCACCCAGGGGCCTTACTTGAATAGGGAGAGCTTTGTGAGGTGAGGCTCATGTCTGGCTCCAAGGGGCTTCTGTCCAAGTCTGGAATCAGAGACAGTGAGGTTAGCACATGACAATTGGGATTTTTCCAGGGATTCAGGAACATCAGGGGCCATTTAATGCTTTACTTATTGTTGTATGTTTTGAGAAACGCTAAAGCAAAGAGACAGTAATGACAAAAAATAGCCTT